TGAAGAAGAAGAAGAAAACAAATGAAAAGAAATCAGAATAAAGTAAAAGAAGTGAAGTTTTCAGGGGACGGAACATCTTTCTTGCCTGGCAACTCGAGCAAATTTCCAAGAGCAGTACCAGTTCGAGATGTATGGCAGACAACCGAGATATCTTGGTCCTTCGGTGATACAGACGGGCACACACACATGCACGCACTGCCTCAACAGCAATCACGGCGCCGATATCTCGAGCTCCATGAGCATTCACTTGCATACGCTTCACACCTACAAGTCCTCATTGATTCAGGTTCATTAACCATGTATTCCTGCCCACCATTTCTATCCTGTCCTATCATATCAACCATATGCCTGCCTGCAACTGGCGCCGCTATCCTCGCTCATTCCGTTCCCGTAATCCCAGAATTTTCCGGTATATCTATCACCTGTCGCCCATGTGCCCACTTTCTCTCTCTGCCTTTGACGTGACTCTCATTGCGACCCTTACTCATCTCCCGAAAGTTGGTGTAAAAACATAGCTAAAAGCAAAATGAAAAGCGAAGTAACCAAACTCTCATGACCTGGCTAGGAAATATGACGTATAACCTGGTTCGACGTGATCGGCGAAGAGAGGAAATAAAAAAACGCAACAGGGAGAGGTCTTTTGTACCTGTGAGATTCAAAGAAGACAAATATTACCTGCCCCTTTCATGCTTCCCTACTGGCAAAGCGGCGAGAAACCCATATATATCCTTGAGGGTGTGTCGTGCTGAATACTTGAAAGTGTGGGAGACTTGCTGGAGAGGATTACAAGGTCGGTATTTTATAGTAGTAGACACCAAATAACAACATCCCCTTTTGCAGAATTCGGTTCTCTCGCGTCCAACTCATGCGCCGTTCCCGCACATTAACTCCTTGCTCCGAGCTTAGGCGGACATCCCGATCTTAGACTTGGCCTCGTTGAGGTACTCAGTAGGGTCAATTCCAGCCGCATAGTTGGGAGCGAAACCGCCGAGCAGAGAGAAGACAACGAAGACGGAGAGGAGGATGATGGAAATGCGACGGAGGACGGGGCGGCGGTTGCCAAAGTCAGCCCATTGGCGGCCAGCCTCGCCGGCGTAGCTCTTGATGGTCTCAGCGCCAAGCTTGTAGTAAACCATACCGCCGAGAGCAATGCTGTAGCCGAAGAACTGGGTCAGAGTAACTTGGCTGCCGTAGATGACCATAGAAGCAACGACGAGCAAGACGTCCTTGAGGACACCACAGAGGGTAAGGACGAGCGACGAAGTCTTGCCAATCTGCACAAACATGTCAGTAAGCCGCTTTGAACAGAACCAGCCAGATATCCAACCTACCAAGAACACAACGGAGACGTTGAGGCCGAAAGCGCAGAGGCCGTTCAAAAAGAAGTAGAAGAGGCCAACACGGTCGACGTCAGCCATGGTAAGTCTGGGTACTTCCCAGAAAAGAGCAATGACGCCGTTCATGAGGGCGCAGATGGGAGCGAAGTAGTAGAGCGAAACCAAAGGATCCATCTTGAACTCGGCGGAGCTCAGGAGACGCTGAACCATAGTAAGACGAAGAGCCTCGAAGGCGACACCGGCAATCTGGAGGATGACGCCCAACCAGACGAACTCGAGCTCGCCGTACGAAGCGATAACGACACCGACAACGATGACAGAAACGTTGAGGAAAACCCTCATGTTGATCTGCGACACACCAAGGGCCCAGCCGGAGAGGAGAACAGCGACAGGAGTCGTGGCCTGTATTCCAAGCGTGAAGTGTTAGATCTCGTTGATCTACTAAGCGAAGCGCATCTTTTGGTACTGACCTTGAGCATCTGGATAAAGGAAACACTGAGGTAGAGGTAGGTGAGGTTGCCGCAGATCAAGCTCAAGCTGAAGAAGAAACCGATCGGGACAATGGCGCGCAGATAAACCTTGCCCGTCATCTTAACTGTCTTCCTGCCATCGAGCAGTGTGGTGTATCGAGCAAGGATCTGGGTCATGATGGTAGAGAAGGCCAAGTGGTAAGTGGTCAAAACGACCGGGAAGTCTGCGTTGTCGTCTCAGTATCCGTTGTCCTTCGACAGGTCCCTTTTCGGCTATCTGTATCGGGGCTTCCTTACCGAATCCTTTGGCGGATAGAATCCATTTGTTGAACAAAATAACGGACGAGCTCATTGCGATCCAGATGCTGCAATCGCGATATCAGTCAACCGAACACACGGAAACTCAGTAGGCCTTCCCGCCATGGGCGGAGGAGTGTCGTAGCTCACCTCACATAGAACGCAGGGTGGATGGCACTCTTCGGAGGCTGGGCCTTCTGGGCCTCTGGATTAACGGTGGGAAGGACGGCATCTCTAGGGGAGTCGCCCGACGCCCGGCTCTTCTCTTCAACGCCCATTTTGTGGTGGGTTGTAGATTTGTTGGGGGACTTCAAAGGGGTAGCGATGTGATTAAATGTAGTGCGAATCCGAAGTTACGTATCGGACTCGAGGTTCAAAACGGGAGTATTGCGAATGACGTCGCGAAAAGACTCTGGACCTCGATGGGAAGGGCTGAATCAAGTCGAACAAACGAGCGGATGGTCGAGCTGGAACAGAAGCCGGGACCGAAAGGTGGCGGAGGAGGAGCTGCAACGGCCGGCAGTTCAGGTCATGCAACCTCGCCAAGTGGAAATGTACAAAGGGGATGCAGAAGGATAGATACACCGAGCCCCGCGTTTTGCAGTTCTGGAGAATGAATCCGCTCTCTGATCCGTGGGGGGAGGGGTTCGGTTTGCGGTCGACTTTGTGATTCCGAGGAGTCGGGGCGCAAACTTGGAGCTCTGGGGAGGCGAGATGATAATAGAAAGGCAGAGCCCGTGACGATGGTAGGGAGACGGAAGCAAAAAGAGAAGAAATGGGGACCGCCTCGAAGGCATGCCAAGGGGCGCCAAGGGGGTGCCAAGGGGTGTCACAGATCTCTTGAAAGCGATTGAGGCGTGCGAAACCTAATGGGGGAGCAGGAGTTCCAGACTGGGGAGAGATGCTACTCTTTTGGGTTTGGGCTTGCCGGCTAGGTGGGTAACTCTATTTTACTCGCTGCACATTGTGCTGACGCAGCCTTGCCCTGGAAGGAACATCGCAGAGGGCAAACCAGAAATCATATTGAAGCGGAATTTGGGACGCACCACAGAATGGATCGGATGTGCAAAAGACAGCCAGTGAATCTAGGGTAAATCGGTCCACGAGCGGGTATAAGATACACGGCCACGCTTGCACGATTCTTGCCTTGTACTTATCATCACCGGCATCACCACCCTCAGTCGAGCAATTGATGTCCACCATCTATCTGCATTGCTGTGGTTTCGCGCAACTGCACTCCATCTGGAATTGCCTTGGAAACAACGGTTGATCTCTTTTCAGATGGCCACTTCGCGTGTGGGTGCGCTCCTTAGGACCGAGCTCAAAGCCCGTGCAGAGCTGT